TTACATAACAGTTATTGCGTCGCATGTCGGCGGCCTCCATGTTGTTGTATTTTGTCGTTAATATACGAGATAACGAGGCTTTTTTGCGTTTGATTGACTATTTTAACATTGATTGCTATTGATTTGTGTCGACGAGTGGCTTGTGTAGCTAGTTAAAGTTAAAATAAATTAGTTAAATTGTACGAAGGAATTTTACTTTCGTGTGGAACGCTGAACTTTGTGATCTGGGTGTAGATCGCGCGCGATTATAGTTCGTGCTAAGTGACGCTGGACTTGAGTTCCGATAGCGGTCGGCGTCTTGTGCAGCGGTCGGCGCAGGTGGTGCTGCTATCTGATTGTATCGGTGACGTCAGGTTACATTATATACAATTCTCATACACTACACACACACTACCATTTACTTGCCCCTGACGCTATCTTGTAGTAGATCCTACCTCTGGAATTTGGTAAGTTTTGTGTTTGCGTATCTAGCCGTTATAATTTAATTATCCATAGACCTTTGGGCCCTCTCATCCGTTACTCATCGAGTTGGACTACTATGGACCCTAGTCCGGTCGACTATTGTCGGGGTAACTGGGGGCCGCAACAATTATTAACCAATGTTTCCTAAACCACTAAAACGCTAATGGTTAAACCTCCTAACGTAAAGGTTATAGAAATAAAACACAGTTATATTATTCAGTCCAAATAATTTCTCAGTTAAACATTTAATTTCTGTGTGTTGGAATGGTGAAACATCAATACATCAAAGAGTTTGGCACGCTTAAAAAACGATGGAAATAATAAAAAGATTCTAGTTTCAACAAATAAATGCTTCTCGATGCAACTATCGACTGGACGAATCTTTACATAACACAAAGTATTTACAATAATTACACTTGCGCAAGTAACTATATTTTTCGTTTAATATTCTATTTAGAATATAAAAAATAAACTAACAGATGTACATTTCTGTAACTGCTGTAAAAATTAACATATCTTAATACCATAATTATATAAACTCTGAATAGTGATGTCACAATAAAGAAAATCTCTTTTCTAAAGATAAAGTATCACCTGCAAATGATTGCATAATGATAGGCCTTGCAGGCCGCGAGCCCTGAGTCAGATGAAGCTGTAAGAGTCGTATAGACTAACAGCGCTAACATCTAGAAAATAGATTTAGAATGATATGATTGCAAGTTTAATAATGTTAATGATAAAATAAATAAATATGCCAAATTTACAATTAGTCACAACTTCGAACAATAAAATAAAACCATTTTTAAATAACTAGGAAGTTAAACCGTTTGAGTTGCCACATTAAGTTCTGAAATATTGAGGTGCCAATTTCAATTATCTATTTAAAAATATGTGCGTGATTTGTGGATCTACATAGTTCTTGAGTATTTAAAAGATTGATGTTAGAATTCTTTAATAAGTTCAAAAATAGTTAACAATAAGCCAGAGGGTAGTTATAAAAAAATGGATAATATTTGTATACCACAACGCAAATGCAAGTTAGGTAAATGTTTTGTCATCTATGCTAAATCTAAACGTATTTCACATCGGCACCTCAGCACTTCTCGTCAGTTTTATCAATAATAATTTAACAAAACGTGCATATAAATATATTTCGTTGTTACACACAGACATATATTAACAGGAATGAATTCCAAAAATATACTAAGTTACCATAGATTTTGTATTTAGAACGTAATAATTCCAATTCCATTGAATTCTCCTACATTATACACGATATGCGCTAAAATATCTTATTCATATTCCTATTAATAACATTAAAGTAGGTAACAAGAGATTTGAATTAATATAAGGCAACATTTAGTTTGATGAATGTATTCCTTTTTACACGCAATTGTTTAGCTGAATGTACGGTCAGCATATAAATTTAATTAAATACTGAATTTATACAATATATTTGCAATTTACAAACGATTAAATAATTTAGAAGACTAATCGCTACAATACTCATAAATATTAATATCAATAGCCAATTAAATTCTTAGTTAATCGGAACAACCTCAAAGTAAGACATTTTACTAATGCTTTAAACTTTTGTTGCTTACCTATAAATGAAGAGTATTGATCAGTTAAGTTAATAATTACCAAATACTATAAAATCTAAAACCGGACTGACGAATTTATTATTTAAAATTTTATGCAATTCACGATAAAGTTATATTCATGGTATTTTAACAGGATGCAGGTTATAAGAAATTATTAATAATTTCGCTTTTAGACGCAGAAATATATGACTTATATGAACTGGTTTTTCTGACTTTCTTGTCTGTTTTTTTTTCTTCATTAAAGTGATGCTGTCGAAAACAATACACTCCTTTACGTACTCTAAATATATAACCTTCTTTTGTACAAAGGAATCTAAATTTTACTAAAATCAAAAATTTTACCAAAACAATTCGTATTACGGTTCATGCTCTCCCCACTTATCACTGGCAGTAATTTAATAAGAATCTCAGAAGACTACATAGTAAAATCTATACAATAATAAAATACACGCATAGTTATAGACTAAATATAGGAATACGTGGCAAATAAAGGGCGGATTCGCAATGAATATGGCACATGCATGTGCCGCTAGCTTTTCTAAATGTTAGAATTGAAATAAAATAAATAAAACTACTTAGAATTAGCACCGCAATTACCATTCGATAGAAAAATAAGAAGACGATATATATGTTATGTTAAAATAATATGTTAAAACTGCCAAAATATTAAAACTAATAATTTAAATTACTAATTAATTAATAAAAACAAGTATAATAAAAATCCATTATAATTCAATGTGTGACGCAAATTTTCCTACCTACATCAGGCTAGAAATATATATTTCAATGAATACCTTCGTGCAACATTATATATAACACTTGACAAAATTAGTCTATCAAATCTATCAATTAACTTTGTGAAACCAATTAACTTTGTGTATCGAAGAAAGTATTTTCATAATGTATATTTTTTTGTGACAAAATACAATACTATGTAATGGTAAGTATACTTGAAGGCACAATGTGTGCTGTGTGCACACTGCCGTCAAGCACCTAGTTGCACACACACATGATGTGTTGTAATTGTTACTGATACCGATGTCAACATTTTTGTAGGTGTGAGTGTCAATTAAATTAATTTTTTATCCTTACCATGATAAAAAATGTGGAATGACTGGTACTTTTCACGAGATAGTAATTCTAATGCCTGTTTCTATATTTAAAAGACATTTCGTTTTACCTTCCACTTTCGATTCGCTTTACTTTGCGAAAGTGCATGGAAACATATTTATAAGAAGTATTTCAACAATGTACAATTTCTAGTAAGAAACGGCACTTCGTTTAATAACAAAATAGATAGTAACGATGAAGAATCGTTTCTTGAATATAGGAATCGGGTATAAATTATCTATCTGGAATATAGTTTTAAGTCTAAATTATTATCAAAGCACTGGAATAATATAATTTATCTAAATATTTATCGTTTTTATATAAGTGTAGTATTTGTTTAAGTATATAAAGTGAGAATTACTACAACATTATATAAAATATTAAATTGTAATTAAAAGAAACAGTAAGAACAAAAGCACAGTAACGGGCGGATTGGTAATATGTTAAAAAAATCAAATCATTTTAAATAATCTCAAAGAAATACCAAGCGGTCATGGATAGGAGTATTTCATGGAAATAACCAATAAACTTTCAAACAGGTGCAAACTCAAAAGCAAAGTTACACAATTTATTTTTTGTGTCTTTTTTGTTTGTTTATTTCCTAATTTTATAAGTTATATTACTTGGGTAGATTTTAATATTTTTTAATTTATTAATTGGTAATTTTGCCTTTGAGTTTTGCCATATAAGCTGCTAAATATAGTTACGTAATCTCTTTAGAAATGTACATATACTTAAGGAAGTCTTGTTAGTTAAAATATAGTTATAATTTAAAAAATTAAAGATATAGCTCACTCCATAGCACATCAGACAAGACAAATACATATTTTGAGCAACTTTTAAAGGGAATACAAATTATAGTATTCTCTTTTCTTTTGTATTGTCAACAATTCATAGGATCTAGTGTGTTAATACATCTAAACTATAATATTTCAGATATAGGAATAAGGAATAAAATCTGATATCTTATGACAGGGGAAGACTTTCATGGTCTATCGTTGTAAGATTCTGAAAAGAAAAGAACAATATATAAAATATGTGCAAACTAAACGCTTGTCAATGAAATCAAGTCACGAAATAGTCAATATTTTATAATAATTTTTAGTATGTTTTATAATTTAGGAAATGTGAAACACTTGCGTGCATTTATCACATTTAATCAGAGAGATTCACACACGGAAGGGAGTGCCAGAAAGTTCTCATGGCCACTGATAGATGGCCCATCTCATCATAATGTGTTATCCCTGACATAAAATACTCGGAGCAAACCATTTGGTTGCCAAATTAAGAATAAAAGTATATAATGCATAATTTTATAATATTTTCATTTATAAGGTGGTAGGTTATAGTAGATAACCTATTATTTCTGGGTAGCCAATATACTCTTTTCTCTTTCTGTTACTAAATAAAAGTACAAACAACATAACACAGAGTAGTTTCAGTTTGACCAGTATCCATTCGATATCTATCCGGTAAGGCCAACTGAGTAAAAGAATGATGAGAACAATCCAGTGGGAAAGTAGATTAATGCCAATGGCTAAAGACTGTGTTTTGTGGCAATATATAAATAGAGAAAAATGTTAACAAATAAATCGAATGTATAAACAATAGTTTAACCGACCGCAATCTATTGCACATCGATGTAGCCGGTTAAACCTAGGTGTTACCGCACCTAGGCTTTCAGCACTGTCATGATAATAAAATGGTCTCGGTTTTGTCGGTTTGCTGAAACCATCGATAAAGCAAGCAAGCATACTAAGTGTGAAATCATGTGATTGTTCGCTGTGACTGGTACACGTAACTCACAGTAATAGATGCGTGTCACTAGCTGGGCGGGCTGCGAGCATTGCGCCGTGCCTGCCACTTGAAGTCGACCTGAAATTAATGTTAGCAAGCATACGATTGATCAATATTGTATCACTAAAAAGTTAAGTTACAGCCTATATACGTCCCACTGCTTGGCACAGTCTCCTCTTATTTGTGAGTGAGTTTAAGAGAGAGAGTTTTTCTTATTTCCTAGACATGCAGGTTTCTTCACGTTTTCCTTCTCCGCCGAGCACGTGGTAAATCAGCAGTTAAAATTGTAATTTACAATTTCATTGGTACCGACGGTGATCGAACCCGGGTTGCTTGCGTATTGTGAAATTTACAGCGAGCTCATAGCCTCTGAGCTAGCACGGCTCTTAGCAACCACGGCTCTCATTGTACTGCTTGTAAAACTACAATGCATAGAATGAGTATTAAGAGGGCAGGATAGGAATGAAAGGGTAAGGGTAATTACCTGCACTAATTAAGGCATTCATTACTACAGTACAAATACCAAATTTGCACACAATCGCATATATTCATAGAATATTTTTGTAGGGTACCATCATTTAGTGTTTCTTCTTTTATATTATTTCCAACTGATACCTCATAGATACATGACTCTTATGGTGATAGCAATACTTTTTAAAATGTTTCGGACATTCTTGGTATTAGATCCAGTTAGTTCATTTATGTAATCTATGTTAATTATTATTAGTCTATCAATGACGGTGTGAACGTCCGCACGTCACTTAATTTACAGGCCCACTGAAAACCAGCGCTGTAGTCTCGTATCGGCTGCGGCATTAAGCTGAGTGCGGTCTGTTTGCCGTGTACGCCACACACACTTGTGTGCGTAAAATGTGTGATGTTGTGTTTAATATTTTTTTTATTCTTCTTTTTTTCTTTTTACTATGTATTTTTTATGTTTATGGTTTAAATGTACATGTGGCGTATTTGAGTGTAATAGTGGAGACGAACTGTCCACTATTAACAGACTCCGAGTGGTTTTCTTTAAGGTGGAGAAATGAAACTACTGTTTATGTTTATGAATGTACTGTCGAATGGGATTCGGAATGGAATATCTTTTGCATCAACCTTGCCTATATTTATATGGCTGGCTCACTATTGATTTGCCAATGGTAACAATTAATATTTTGCCTAGCCAATTATATTGCTTATTTTATGACCAATGAAAACTATTTAAAATATACAATTATCTACGTTTCGTTTCCCGGCGTGAGACTTGTTTGTTGTTCACGAAGCTACGTCGCTGGACCGGGCTATATAAGACATGCAGATCGGTGCGCACGCGTAGTCGGCGGGCGGCGGCGGTGTGGAATTCAGCTCCGGAACAGCAAGAGGAAACGAACTGCGGCGTTGAAGAAACGGCTCACCATTGGTCGACGGATACGTGACGATAGCGGCGTGTGAAGTCGGTGTGGCGCTGAATGATATTTGCGGCTGCTTCTTGTTTCTTTATAAGAACGTCAAATTATCTATATACAGTCCGCAGTATCTCAGTAGCCAAGAATTATTAGGAAATAAAATGTTTTTTTATTTATTCTCGCCTTCCGCGTTATGGTAGCAGCGGAGTATATATTATTTATTCCCGTTTAGGTTTGATTAATCTGGCTGCTACATCACTCTCCCCCCAGCGAAAGCGTACCGGAGGCTTGACGACTCGCCCGTATTTCGTAGTTTTTAAAATAGGTTTCAACTGGGTTGATGTAGATGATGAAGTTTCAAGCTTCCTCGCTGGTGGTTTTGATGATGATGATGAATCCTCTGCAGTATCCTCGCTAATAATATAGGCAGGCTTTAGTCGGTCGATCGATATAATCGTAGATTTCCTTCCGGGTATTTGTAGTTTAAAAGTCTTGCTATTTCTCTCTAATACTTTATACGGTCCATCGTAGGTAGGTTGAAATTGTTTTTTCATTGCGTCGTTTCTTACAAAAACTTGTTTGCATGTTTTCAAATCTTGGTGAATGAATACTGATTTATTATTTCTGTGTGATTGCATTTCGGTGCATTTCAACGATAAGGCTTTGTTAATTGATTCTCGAAGTTTAGTTACGAAATCGTAATCCATTTCTTGTTTGTTTGACGCTGCTGAACTGAAGAAGTCACACGGCAGCCTTATGCTGCAGCCGTAGGTTAGCTGAGCGGCGCTAAGACTAGTGTCTGCACGCGGTGTTGCTCGTAGTCCGAGTAGCACTGTAGGTAGCTCATCAATCCACTTTGTATGTTGAGATAAACGAGTTTTGAGTGCAGTCTTTAATGTACGATGCCATCGTTCGATTATTCCGTTTGACTGAGGATGGTATGCTGTTGTACGCGTCTTCTGTATTCCCATAGTTTGAAGAAGTTTGAGGAATAGGTTGCTTTCGAAATTCCTTCCTTGATCCGTTGTGATGGTTTTAGGTGATCCGAAACGAGTAATCCAATTTTCATAAATTATCTTCGCGACGGATTCGGCTGAAGTATCATCGGTAGGTATTGCTTCTGGCCATCTTGTTGTTCTGTCGATCATTGTTACGAGATAACGATGTCCTTGCGGTGAAGTAGGTAATGGTCCAACGATGTCAACGTGCAAGTGTTCGAATCTCTCCGTGGGTGGAAATGTAGCTAGACTACTTGATGTATGCCTTTGAACTTTGCATTTTTGGCATTGAATGCATTGCTTCGCCCAGTTGCCAACATCCGCTTGCATTGCAGGCCAAAAGAATTTTTCAGTGATGAGTTTTCTTGTTGTTCTAACACCTGGATGACTAATGTTGTGCAGTGTATTGAAGACTTCGCGACGACATTCTTCTGGTATGTATGGTCGCATGGTTGTCGTTGAGGCTTCACAGTATATAGGTAGATGCGTCATTGGCATTGTAACTTGCTTGATGGACAAGTTACCTTGCTTCGCTAGATGTTTTATGTTGTCACTATCTCTGTCTTGTGCTGCGGCGATCTTATGATAGTCGATTGATGTAGGGCACGTTACACTGTCGATTGGTACGCGACTGAGTGCGTCGGCAACTATGTTGTCCTTTCCACTGATGTGACGTATGTCGGTCGTGAATTCACTTATGAAAATAAGTTGTCTTGCTCTTCGTGGTGTTTCCGATAGTGATGGTTTCTTTGGAAGTACATATGTTAATGGCTTGTGGTCGGTAAAAACGATCAGGTTTCGACCCTCGAACGTTTTTCTGAAGTGCTTGATAGCCATGTAAATAGCGAGTAGCTCTCGGTCGAATGTACTGTAGTTACGTTGAGTATCGGATACGTCGCTGAAGATAGCAAGGGTTGCTTCGTGTGATGGGTGAGCGAGTAAAGCTGCATTTTGGATCGCAATTTTACAAGCTTCAAATGCCTTCGTGGCTTCATCGTTCCACTCGATTGACGTTTTATCTTTTTTCTTCGTGTTGTGAAGGTAGGCGTGAAGTGGTGCTTGGATTTCAGCGGCTTTAGGTATGTGTTCTCTGTAAAAATTTATCATCCCAAGAAAACGCCTTAGCTCTTCGATAGTTTTAGGTTTTGCATAATCGATGATTGCTCTGACTTTTTCGGCAGGCGGTTTTATTCCTTCCTTGCTGACGGTGAAACCAAGAAATTGAACTTCTTGCTGTCCAAATATGCATTTCGAAGGGTTGATTGTGATTCCGTTGTCTTCTAATCGCTGTAGCACGGTGCGTAGATGGGTTTCGTGCGTTTCTTTATCAGGGCTTGCAACAAGGAGATCATCAATAAATGCGAAAACGAAATCCAGTCCATGAAGTACTTCGTGTATGAATCTTTGGAAAGTTTGACCTCCGTTCTTTAATCCTGGGATCATTCTTGGGAATTCGAATAATCCCATTGGGGTAATTATTGCTGTCTTCTCTATGTCTTCATCGCGGACTCTTATTTGTTGGTAAGCTCGGTTGAGATCGATGGTGGAGAATATAGTCTTGTCTGATAGTTGATGAGTGAAATCCCTGACTCGCGGTATTGGGTAGCGGTCAGGAGTGGTAATAGAATTCAGTCTTCTGTAATCTCCACAAACTCGTAATTCTCCGTTCTTCTTCGGTACAATGTGAAGTGGTGATGACCAAGGGCTTTTGCTTGGACGGCATATTCCTTGCTCAATCATGTTTTCGAATTCCTTTCGCACTTGCTCGTATAGGTGTGGTGCGATTGGACGTGCACGACAATGAAGTGGTGGTCCATTGGTGTCGATGAAATGCTCAACGTCGTTCTTCGGTGTTAATTTCATTGAAGTTATTCTTGTGATACCAGGGTATTCTTCGAGGATCTTGTGATACGGTTGTTGCACATCTATGCTTCTTATTGTGGGCAGATTGGTTGCTTGTACAAAAGACTGAGATGCAAGATTGGTTTTCCCGTCGATGATTCTTCTATTTTTGATGTCGACGACCAACTGGTGATGTTGAAGAAAATCAGCACCGATGATTGGTTTGCTGACTTTAGCGACGATAAATCTCCATTTGAATGGTCGGCGTAGATTAAAATCAAGTTCCATTGTTTTTTCTCCATATGTAGGAATAACCGTATTGTTTGCTGCATAGAGTTGAAAATCTAGTGGCTTCAACTTCTGTCCTTGCTTCGGCGGTAACACTGAGATATTTGCTCCGGTGTCGATAAGGAAAGTAAACTTGCTTTTTTTATCGGTGACGAAAAGACGGTAGGACTTTGCTGTTACGCTGGATCCCGTCGCATCGAGCGTACTAGTTAGTTTTCCGTATTCGTATTTTCATTTTTGAATGTACACGGTGCTGTGCATTTTCTTGCCTCGACCCCGAAACGTCGATGATAGTAGCAGTAAGGGGATCTTGATGTTGAGCTTATTCGACTTCTACTTGCAGAGCGGTTGCGACGAAAAGGTGATCTTCGGTGTTGCTGATTGCGCTGGTTGTACTGTTGCTGGTAAAAGGTATGATGCTGGGAAGCTTTGAGCGCGGCGACTTCGAATGATAGCTTCCGAATTTCTTCGAGAAGAAACTGGGTATCATTGGCCTTTGTTGAAGTGCCTTCGATGATCGATATGTGTGAGCTACTGCTGTTTTCGATCATCTTGTCCGCCAGGAGTGCCAGTTCGTCGAGCTTCGTCTGCGTGCTGAATGTTTCGCTGACTGCTATTACCGATCGAATATGTGGTGGTAGGTGGTTTACCCACATTAGCCGTAGTGTTGAATCCGGAACTTTATCTCGCGCCAAAGTACGCATTTTGCGTAGGAGTTGTGTGGGTTTCTGGTCTCCAAGTTCTATTTCTGATAGCAGTTTTTGTAGCTGTCGACTGTCGGATTCTTCGTATGCGGAGATCAGACGATCCTTCAGTGAATTATACTGGTCGACTGCTGGTGGGTTGTACAACAGGTCCGCAATTTGTTCGATGTCTTGTTTCTCAAGTTGGGCTATCACCATCTGTGCTAATTGCGCTTGGCTCTTCTTTAAACCATTCGTTGCGGCTTCAAAACTGAGGAACCAAAGTCGTGGTTTGTCTCTCCAAAACGGTGGTATTCTTAACGATAGAGATATACCGGCGATTTCTGGTTCTTTTACCGGGTTTGATGTATATGTGTTTGCCTCCTGCTCCATAATGACGGCTTGATTACACTGATTTTATATAAACTGAAGTCTTCCTTCTCGGTGTTCGTACGGGTTTCCTTCGCGGTGTTCGTGCAATAGTAGTGGTACGTCGCAGGGTGTTCCTTCTTGGTGTTCGTACCGGATCTTCCCCCTCGGTGTTCGTACGGGGTCACCACTATAATAGTGGAGACGAACTGTCCACTATTAACAGACTCCGAGTGGTTTTCTTTAAGGTGGAGAAATGAAACTACTGTTTATGTTTATGAATGTACTGTCGAATGGGATTCGGAATGGAATATCTTTTGCATCAACCTTGCCTATATTTATATGGCTGGCTCACTATTGATTTGCCAATGGTAACAATTAATATTTTGCCTAGCCAATTATATTGCTTATTTTATGACCAATGAAAACTATTTAAAATATACAATTATCTACGTTTCGTTTCCCGGCGTGAGACTTGTTTGTCGTTCACGAAGCTACGTCGCTGGACCGGGCTATATAAGACATGCAGATCGGTGCGCACGCGTAGTCGGCGGGCGGCGGCGGTGTGGAATTCAGCTCCGGAACAGCAAGAGGAAACGAACTGCGGCGTTGAAGAAACGGCTCACCATTGGTCGACGGATACGTGACGATAGCGGCGTGTGAAGTCGGTGTGGCGCTGAATGATATTTGCGGCTGCTTCTTGTTTCTTTATAAGAACGTCAAATTATCTATATACAGTCCGCAGTATCTCAGTAGCCAAGAATTATTAGGAAATAAAATGTTTTTTTATTTATTCTCGCCTTCCGCGTTATGGTAGCAGCGGAGTATATATTATTTATTCCCGTTTAGGTTTGATTAGTCTGGCTGCTACATGAGCAATAAATGTTTTCTTTCTTTCTTTCTTTCTTCTTTCTTTCTTTAGAAGTAGGTATCAAATTACACAAATTGATAACATTTCATGCCGTTTTTTTATACCGTAAACAGAACTGAAAAATTTTGAGAATATTTTTAGTTTTTGGCATCCATTCCTTACTGCGTTAATTCTATCGTACCACTCATTGGCCTACAACTAAAGTAGGCAGGTAATACTACTAAAGTACACTATGATTAAAATTGTGAAATATTGTTTCTAAGTAGTTACTCAAAATCAAAGTCAAAATTTTTTATGCAATTTATGCTTGTTTAAACCTGGAATAAAACTAACTTTAAGGATTTTATCGCGTTTAATTTCGTTTCGAGCACTTTGCAGCACCTATGGCCAACGACGACAGGCAGTTACAATATTAGTCTCCCTGAAAAGGAAGCGAAGCGACTCGGCACGCTCAAAGTTAAAGAATTTTTACAGTGTAAGCTGTAAATATTTTATTTTTCCTACGTTCGAAAAGGAAATTAAAAAAAAACTGAATTAAAAAGAGCTGATGATCTTCAAACTGGTGAAAAGATTTTCTTGAATCATAGCTAAACACTTGATCAAGTCACTTTTCAAACAAAAACTTTTTGTCACAAGTCACTTTTTTACGTGTTAGAGCCAAGCTTTAGTTAGTTTGCGTTAGCATTATAGTTGTACCAGCTTAATGTGCTGTATTTCGTATGGTGAGTGTAGAGAACCGGAGACCCGTTTTACTGGAATCGAGGCATTCCATCTTATTCTTCAGGGTGACAACGCATTTACATTTTGATTCTTGAGCATAAATATCGATCACCATCCACTTACCATCCAGGTGGACTGTGTGCTCGTATGTCACCTAATGTTATAAAAAAATACTAACTCAAAATCGGTTCATCCTTTTGGTAGCTACGGTGCCGCGGATAGACACAGACATGTAAATACACAGATACACACGTTAAACATATAACACCCCTCTGTTTGCGTAGTGGGTTAAAAATTAAAATGGTTTTAACCACCAACCATTTGGAAACAATATGTATTTACAATACGATATTTTATTGGGCGGGTATTAACACTGATTTTTTAATGATTTACTATAAATTTGAAAAACCCGTGTTATACGATCCTTAAGATTATGTGCGAAAAACAATCGACGTATAAGAATTGAAAACTAAGAGTTTTATTAGTTTTGTTATGTTGACAACATTTTCTCTAACGTTTCCATTGTAGGTGAATGCAATAATTTATATTTTATTTATAGGTTTACGTTTGCTTTACCTGTTTGTACTATTCCAACATCTTGACTTTATATTATGTGCGCACGATAAGAATATTACTGTCAAACTGACATAGCGGATTAACCTTAGGTATTTAGAGTACGCCGCGTAAAATAAATCAAACAAAAATACATACAGAAAATATTTTTATTTTATTTAATTGTAATTGCACTGTCAGATATGAAAGGAGGCCTGTGAAATTTTGAAGAATTTATGGATGATAATAACCCCTGGGAATGAGGTGATCGCTACCAAGATTTTTTCTAGTTCTTTCCAGAATAGAAGTATTATCTGAACCAATGGTAAATTAAATATAAGAACAATTTTAAATAAATATCATTTATAATCTATATTGATTTAATAGTTTTTATTTTTAACAAAGAAATTTTAAAAACACGCTTTCACAGAATACCAGCGTAAAATAGCAGCTTAATGCTGCTGTGTTTCGTATGGAGAGTATAGAGAACCTTTGTACTGGAAAGGAGGCATTCCATATTAATCTTCAGGGGTGACAATGCATCTACATTTTGGTTCTTTATCGAGGATAAATGGTCTATGGGTCACAGCATTCACTTACCATTCAAGTGAACTGTTTTTTTTAATTATTATTATCCATATTTGATGTGTGTTGTTATGGTAACTGACCTGCATAAGCCATTGCTGGCCGCGCGACCTGTTGCAGGGCCGCAGCACCGGCTTCCACACGTCCGACGACTCCGGCTTATCCAGACACATGCCCGTATTCGTGTGCTTTATGATTCGTGTCTGAAACAAACGTGCACAACACATCCATATTGAACTAATACTTTGTACATAACTAACATAACTGCCTCGTTGGTCTAGTGGTGGTAGTAGTGCAACTGCTAATCATGAGGTCCTGGGTTCGAATCCCGGGTCGGTCCAAAAAATCAATTATTGAGTTTTTCCGTCAAGAAATTCAGAAGGAGGGGGAAGTTGGCGGTGTCTTACCCCCGTGCCCCGGAAAGCACGTAAAGCCGTTGGTCCTGCGCCTGATCTCTCTCCGGTCGTGTCGGTTTACCGTCCCATCGGATTATGAGAGTGATAGAATAGAGAGTGCACCTGTGCTTGCGCATACACTTGTGCACTATAATCCTGTCCTGCGCCGATGGCTAGCCTCCGTTGAGGCAGGCCGCCGTGGCCGAAATTCGGTCTGGAGGACATTACTTTGTTCATACAAAATAATACCTGAATTTAAAAGGATGAAATGTAAGTATATTTTCTTGTAATGATCAAAGACAGGATATCAGTATTGCAGTCTGCTAGAGGAACAAAAGAAACCATCACGCCAACGTATGACACAACATCATAATCATCATCATAACAGTTCTTCATAAGTCCACTGCTGAACATAGGTCTCCCCCAAGGAATGCTAAAAAGCACGGTCCTGAGCCGTCACTCCATTTAGTGGGGGGTAGCGACAGTAACCTAATGGCAGGGCGCGGACCGCGAACTCAAAAAGGTCGTGGATTTGAATCCGCCATTCAACTACTGGCGTGAACCACTCGTAACACAAGCAATTTAAGCTTACCAGGAGTGGTTAAGGGCGTTAGGTTAATTAGTAATGTCTATAGCATTGTTAATATTCTTTTATAAAAAAAAAAACCTGCCTGAACGAGGCTGCCACTCGAGAAACTTTTTTCCCCATCGGTTGTCGGTTGTTCGAGCTATATAGCCGGCGCATTGCCACTTCACCTTACTAATCCGTTGGGCTATGTTGGTTACTCTGGTTGTACTGCGAATATTCTTATTTCTAAGTTTATCACGCAGAGAAACCTCGAGCATAGCCCTCTCCATAGCTTGCAACAGTAAAGGACCACGTCTCAAATCAATAAGTCAACATTGAGAACACGCACTGATTGTATAACCTCGTTTTCAAGTTTTAGTTATACCCGACGAGATGTGTCGTGATTTCTCGAGCGCTGCCCAACCGAGTTGAATCCGTCGATTGAACTCTCGGTCGAAGTTGAACTTATCTAGTCGGACTACTTGTCCCAGGTATACTTACACGCTAACAACTTCGATGACACAACACGGTCCAATAATCCAGACAGTGCAAGATATATGGTATTAGCTTACCTGCTGATGAATATGATGGCGTCAGATAAGCAATTAGCCCACTTCGTTCGTCTCTTAATTGGTATTAGGCGACAAATATTTGAGAGCGTCCGACATTCAGGAAAATTGTCCTAGGTAATTATCTACATATATCCCCAGAACTAAAATACTGGAAAGGAGAGCCCTCTCCTCGGGTAAGAGAGGATTCAGAGTTTACAATACGATACCCAGCAGAATCTTAACAGTAACGCATCTTCGTATCGTATGTTAACAATTACAGTTAACTGACCTTCGTACCGTTTGTTAACAGTAACTCACCTTCATATCGCATGTTAACATTAACAGTAACTCACCTTCGTATAATTTTTTATCAGTAACTCACCTTTGTATCGTGTGTTAACAGTAACTCACCTTCGTATCGCATGTTAACAGTAACTCACCGTAGTATCGCATGTTAACAGCAACTTATCTTCGTATCGCATCTTAACAGTAACTAACCTTCGTATCGCATGTTAACAGTAACTCACCTTCGTATCGCATGTTAACAGTAACTCACCTTCGTATCGTTTGTTAACAGTAACTCACCTTCGTATCGCATGTTAACAGTAACTTAGTTTTGTTCGTATTTAACGGCAACTCACCTTCGTATCGTAAGTCCACTCCTGATTGCCACGCATTCCGTGACATCGTATAAGCTTAACGGGTCCTCTTGGATTCGCCGCGTCCAAGCAATTGTCGTCCGACATGATTTGCTTGCGTTTTGTATACGCAAACACTTGGTTACCACCCATACCATGGCAGTAGCCCATTCCCAGTGCCTGTCCAGCTTTGCCGCCCATCGTGTCCAAGCAGTTCGAGGTCTCCGCATTACGGATCTACACAAACGCAATAATCATTTTAAGAAAATTTTTAAATTCAATCGGATTGTTTCAGAATTACATAAAATATTTAATATTTATTAAATGCATAAATATCGGTCAAGGCTAGTACTTTAGTGAAATTCAACACTCATTTATGCTTAATACGAGCGCTTCGTTTTTAATAAAATTCATTAACATTTGCAACTAAACAGGTTTTGTTGATCGCTTTTTAAGATGTTAAAATTTTAATCTTTGTATAGATCAAGTCACGAGTTCCGCTTTCTGTGTAAATTTATTATCAAATATTACAATATATTGTTATATTCAAAACTAGCAACTTGAGTCTAATTTTAAAACTGTACGCGCCCTCTCTTTCACTTTTGGTAGACTTTATCACATTTACCATATTAGGTATCATATATCATAAAAATACAAGCAAAGCGCCTGCAGTATTAAATAAGACAATATCTATTTTTTAAATAATATATAAAAACAACGAGGCTTGGGCCTATGGTGGAAGAATTTGAGAAGCGGCATAATTTGATAAGTGTATTTCAAATTGACTATATTTTCAAATACGATTGAAATTTCTGTCTTATAAAAGAACACATTTTAAATTATAGCTTTATTTTTATGGTTAAAATTTATTTCACAAGTAGAATTATATATTAAATACATTTACAAAACAAAACCATATTAGGTCGAGTCTAAGACATCAAATAAATCCCTAGTGCGTACTATACTCTACACATATGTACTATACTCTATATCCCTTTGCAACCGATTGTATACGAGCGTGACGATCGAAATTTAATTTTTTTCCCGCGAAATTAACTAATTTTTGTGAACGCAACCGACTTCGCTCGATCGTGTGTATGTTTTTCGTTTATATAGACAAAACGTTGACTTGTCGTAACCTATCAGTGGTCAGCGGACCGTTGTCAGAGATGGCTGCATACTTTGGCGAGGGCGCGCGTTCACGTAAGTACATTATTTTCTCACACTTTACATTATATGTTGACTGATTTTGTTTTCATTGTTTATGGTATTAATCAAACTAAACGATATCATGTTTGAAATTGAAATAATAGCACGTTTCTTGCGCCTATGATCTTGTAAGCATAGATCGTCACGATCGTGACGATCCGGGTTCCATTGCAATATTTACTATTAAAAATCGACAATTTCAAACTATGTTTTTTCCACGTTGTACGTCAGTAAATTTTTTGTTTTATTGTTATTAGGCGCAGTTTTGCGGGATGAAGATATTTTGAACCTCATACAAGACGGAAATGATTCTGACATTGAGGAACTTTACGATGGTGGTGAAAAAGATTTTGATCCTGTATTGTTTCAAGATATCCTTGACAAGGAAAATGAATATCCTGTCTCAGAGCCAGAAACTACAGATTCCGCATCAGCTCAACCTCAGTCTATTCCAACACAATTGATACGATCATCTAATGCGGTAATTTTTTAAAATTGTTCTACTAAGCGAACAGCTGCATGGAAGCAAACTGATTTCAGTGACAAGGATCATAACTATCCCTGTCCACCTTCGGGACCAGTAAGGACACCTAGTCAGTATGTACAAGACTACTTTTATACAGATGTTTTCGAACTTGTCGCTCATTGCTCCAACATTTACCACCTTCGCAAAAACGGAACAGAGCTTAAAACTACACCAAAGGAGATAGCAAAATTGTTCGGCATCCACTTGATAATGGGCATCATCCCGTATCCTCGCTTACCAATGTACTGGCGATCGTCTACAAAACTGCCCTTAATTTCAAACATCAGGAGCCGTGACCGATTCCTTCAATTGAGAAATTCCCTTCACGTTGTCAATTTCGATACGCCTCCTCTTAATCTACTTTGGAAAGTGCAACCTATCATCGACCGAGTTCGGGATGCTTGTTATAAGCTAGAGAGAGTTCCTGGATACTATAGTATTGATGAACAGATGATACCGTTCACGGGACGTTGTGCATTGAGGCAAGTCGTAAAAAATAAGCCACGACCAACAGGATTAAAAAATTTTGTCGTTACTACAAGCGATGGCCTTATGATCGATTTTGAGATTTATAAAGGTGCCAAGACAATGTTTGGGGATACGAGCTTAGGCCTTGGTCCATCAGTTGTTCTGAATTTAACAAAGACTGTTCCGCCTGGTAGCTGTGTGTACCACGATCGTTATTTCACAACGATCCCATTGTTAGAGGAGATGGATCGGCAGAATTAGCGTAGTACTGGTACCTTAATGATGAACAGGATTCCTGGGCTGAAATTTAAGAAACACAGAGCTATGTTTCGTGGCGAAAGTCAACAATTTGTCAGAGAACCGTTATCATTGGTAAAATGGAAAGATAACAAATCAGTTTTGATGGTTTCTAATTGTACTGGTGCCGAAAAAACTGATTATGTAAAAAGATGGGATAAATTAACAAAATCCTACAAGGATATTACTGCTCCAAGAATAGTAATTAATTACAACAAACACATGGGTGGAGTGGACGTCCTAGACCAGATGATGGAGTACTATCGTGTTTTTATAAAAACTAAAAAATGGACTCTCAAAGTGATTATCCACTTTCTAGATTTGGCAGTGGGTAAAGCATGGCGGAAGTATTAAATCGATTGTAAAGCTAATAAGCTCTCGAGGAAAAAATATTGCCCTTTTAGATTTTAAAATGGAGGTAGCTGATGCTTGGTTAAATACACCAGCCCGCAATCCGGCGATTAAGTCACGCCACTGACACAGAAGATGAGCAACCGCCAGCAAAGAAAAAGTATATGCCATCAAGGCCTTCCGATGCTAAAAGGTATGACGGTTACGATCATCTACCTACATTCGATGAATTATCGGCACCACGCTCATGCAGGCTAGAAACGTGCACTAGTCGAAGTAAAATTCGTTGCATAAAATGCAACTTTTACTTGTGCCTTTCGAGAGGAAAAGATTGTTTTAGATTGTATCATACAAAGAGCGATAATTAATCATTAAATATTTTAATAATTTAGTTATTTAACTTGGAGATCTCAATTCGTTCCTATGTTGGTTATTTTTAAGTTCCAAAAAGATTAACGCTATGCAAAATTATTTTCTGTTTAGAATGTTTTTCTTTAGATATTATATTGTTAAGATAAATACGTTAGATACAGTAAAACTATTAAATATTATAACAAAAAAATAAACAACATTGATTATTTCAGTAGTGTTTTCAATTTCCTAATTTATTTTCTTAGAAGTCACGTTCGTGACGATGTCAAACTTTTCCTGATCGTCACAATCGTGCGGGTTATTTTTACAGTTATTCAGAGGTATATGGTTTTTTTACCAGTTTTTCTAGGTTCTCTGAACCTTAAATAACTAGAAATTACAATTTATAAATTAATTGAACAGAAAAAAGATCTCCGGTTGTAAAGGGATATTATAACAGCAGGCTATGCAAACGGATGCACAGCGATGTAAAAGCATTAGATCAGTGTGACTACTTTTCGTGCTACAAATGTTATCGATTTTCAGAACTATTGCTTATTTTAGCAGTTCAATAACAGGGTACATAAATCGTTTTTGTTGATTAACAAAAATACTTTACCAGTCTGGATCTTAGAACCAACTTACACTGCATCTAAGAATAAATGCCTGCCTCCAAGAATATGGCATAAGCGTTAATTCGAATAATAATATAGTTGTTAAGTCAAATAAGTGTTTCTGCGTTTGCCTCGTGGACTCTAGATCTATCAAATATCGCATCAAAGCAAATGAAAACTTCTGCTCAATATTAAAATACAATGTCGTCTGTGTCAGAAACAGTGAGTAAATTACCATCAATTTTATGTTCGTAAGGGGGAATTAGATAACATTTTCGACAGAAAGCAACTATAGTTCGCGCTAAATCAATTAACAGTGGTAGAGCCACGCGGCAGCTTTGCTGTTGCACGTATGGGCCGGCTCAAACCGGGGTGGTACCACGACCTCACAGAATACCGGCGTGAAGTGGAAGCTCTGCTTCCGCGTTTCGTCTGGTGAGTGCAGGTGGCCGGAGGCCCAAATCCCCCCCATCAACATGGTAGCGGAATTAAATAATGATCGACTACCCCAGGAGGGTACCAGCACCCCTGGAGAATCCCTCGCTGAGCATCCACGACCATGTTTCTCCACTTCTGAGCGTGGGTGCTCAGGCTGCCCCGCGTATTCTGGGGGGGGGGGCAAAATTCCGCTCAAGACTACAACTGCTCGGGGCAAACGGAGCAACAAGACCAAGGCGACCCCTGCCATGCTGTCCGTGAATTTCTGCAATATCAGGGGACTTCACTCTAACCTAAACGCCGTCCACTACCATCTCGAGACGGCGAGGCCGGCTCTGCTCTTTCTAACCGAGACGCAGGTGTCCTCTCCGGCTGATGTCTCGTATCTCTCCTACCCGGGGTACAAACTGGAACACTCCTTTGTGCCTCGGGCTGGAGTTTGCGTTTACGTCAGAGAGGACATCTGCTCTCGACGCATGCAGACTTGAAGGTTCGGACCTGTCCATCCTTTGGCTACGCGTAGACAGCGACGACCATCCGCGCGTCTACGGGTGCCTCTATAGGTCCCATAGCGGTAATGCCGAAACAGACCGACTATTCGACCACGTCCAAATGGCTGCAGATTCGTTGCTACAGCAGATCCCCTCCGCAGAGATCGTGATCCTCGGCGACTTTAACGCCCATCACGCCGAGTGGCTTGGTTCACGTTTAACCGATCATGCGGGGAGATCTGTTCATGATTTTGCCTTGGCATATGGTCTGACACAATTGGTTACTTCGCCTACGCGGATTCCAGATGTGGAGGAATCATGCACCTTCCCTGTTGGACCTTCTGCTGACCTCTCACCCGGACGGATATCAGATATCCGTCGACGCCCCTTTAGCTCCCGCTCCCACTCACGCTGAAATCGCGGTTGCATTCTGCAGGCTGCCGCCGTGTTTGGCACTATAGGTCAGCCGATTGGGATGGGATGCGGTCTTTCTTTGCATCCTACCCTTGGGGGCGGGTTTGCTTCTCGCCGGATGATCCCAACGTTGTTGCGGATTCTGTCGCTGATGTGGTACTTCAGGGTATGGAACTTTTTATTCCTTCCTCTGTGGTGCCCATTGGAGGCAAGTCTCAGCCATGGTTTGGTCGCTCCTGTAAAATAGCATCATGCTATAAGCAGGAGTGTTACCAAGCCTGGGCTGATGCATCAGCGTCCCGGGATGTAAACACCAGCGCTCTAAAAAAGAAGTATAATTCCGCCTCTAGGTCCTTCAAAAGAGTCGGAATCCTCGGCGTCGACATATCGAGTGACGTGCAGTTTCGTGGTCACTTGGAAGGGAAGGCCAAATTGGCTTCTAAAAAGCTTGGCGTGCTCAGCAGAGCAGGACAGTATTTCATGCCGGCACACCGCTTGCAACTTTACAAGGCGCAGGTTCGGCCGCTCATGGAATACTGTTCCCATCTCTGGGCTGGGGCTCCCCAGTACCAGCTCCTTCCACTTGACCGCATCCAGCGCTGAGCGGCTCGAATCGTCGACCACCGAGTGCTTTCCGATCGGCTCGATTCACTGGCGCTGCGAAGAGATGTTGCATCTCTTTGCGTATTTTATCGCATCTATCACGGGGAGTGCTCTGAGGAATTGTTCGGATTAATCCCAGCCGCCAAATTTCGTGAACGCACTACACGGCAAACGTCCCGATACCATCCACACCATCTGGATGCTTGGCGGTCCACCACTGTACGTTTCAAAAGGAGTTTTCTTCCGCGTACAACCTCTCTGTGGAATAATTTACCACCGGTGATTTTTCTGGACCGATACGACCTGGGGACCTTCAAGAAAAGAGCTTACTCCTTTCTAAAGGGCCGGCAACGCACCTGCAATTCCCCTGGTGTTGCGGTTGATCATGGGCGGCGGTAGTCACTTAACATCAGGTGAGCCGCATGCTCGTTTGCCCTTTCTTCTATAAAAAAAAAAAAAAGAAAAACGGACGATGATCTCAAATGAGAGCCGAGTGTCAAAAGGCGTAACTTACAAAATCTCAATTTAGATGTGATAACAATATTTAAATATTCATATTATTCACACTTTTAGGTCAGTACATATGTTTTGTTTTTTTCTTAAATAACATTGTCTGTGGTTCCTATAAACATCGTAAAATCCTACGGTACATCGCGAAAAATGTGTTATACTTTATATTTCAATTTATGGCAAGTAACGCAGCAATTAATTTAATAACTGATTCATATTTAAAAAAATATTTGAAGCAATGAAAAAAACAATGAATTTGCAAAAGCTCAATATAGTGATTATACACCATATTGAGCTTTTGCAAATTCATCCCTTTAAAATAAACAAAACGCGCGTTACGTCAGTTCGTTCTAAAAGAACCGTGACAATGGCAGCCAGAGATGCGTCACTTTTTTTGGGCCGGCCCACATGCACCGAATTAAAATAAAGTTCTTATATAACATTGAAAATAAAATTTTATCTTTTGAATAAGTACGTAATTATTCGGTGTCGTTATCACTCGAATATTTAATATGTATTATAAATTAATGCCTTTTGTTGTTAAATGACAATAAAGTACTTTATAACAATAGATGATTTTTCTTCTACAGCTATCTTTTACATAACTTTTTAATAATAGTTAATAAATATATATTATATCAATCATTATAAAAAATAATAAAAAAAATCATTATAAATAAAGAAAGTACTACATATAAAAAGTGTCAATATATATAAAAGGTTTGTAGCCCCTAGTTAAACGACCGAAAGATCAATGTCCGTTTTTCTCAATCGATTTGGCACGAACTATAGTGCACTTGATGCACCATAATGATTGAAGGATGAAGCTCTTGCAACTGATGACGGGAAAACCATCCAAGAACGTTAAACCAAAATCTCACATAGCGATGAAGGCCAACATTACCAATGAGGGTGTCGGTTCTGCGCTCACTAACTTGTCCAGAATAGTTTGGTCAAACTTTCAACTAATGCATGGCAACTGGCGCATTCTAGGATGGTTTTATACATCTTAAAGATTTATGACTTAAAAAAGCTGCATTAAAACCTAAAAAGGTTTCAATATTTACTGCAATATTAATATATGTGTATATATAGCTCACCTCTCCCAAGAAGTAGTAGTCCAAAGGCATTTGGCTCTCTGGGTAAATATTCTCCAAGTACCATCTGAAGCTTTTGCACTTAAGCCTCTCTCTCAGTGCTTTACGTTCGCTGACATCGCCCACAGGTACGTTCAAGGCGCCTAATCGTAATAACTCAATGTTTATAAATATCATACATTTTTTTGTTATATTACTGTAACACGAACAAAATAATTTATAACTGAAAATTGGTTACTGTTTCATGTCTGCTTATTTCGCGTTGCGTATAAGCTACTTTGTTTTAGATAATTACTAAATTTTGGACCCTTTTCATACCAAGCAGTGCCCGTTTCTGGCCGCAAGCAGCCGTACGTTCACTGCTGCTTGGTGCCTTACTGCTGTATTAAGGTGTGATGAAGAGTATCACGAGTCATTATTATTACAAGCTGTGACAAATCTAAATTCTCTGAAGTGCCAACGTCTCCTACAGGTAGACTATTAACACCTTAGTCGTAGAAGGCAAATAATTCTTTATAAAGTCGTCTTCACATTTTATAATTAATTAACTACTAATAAAAAATATTTTCTTTATCAAAGTAACGTATTATTTTTGCAACAAAACTATCACAATATTATAACTAAGTACAACAAACTTCCCTATTAGTTTTTGTTAATAACGCAAACACAAATACTTATTGCTTGTACTTGTAAGTTAGCAAGCAACGTTAGAAAGGTTAAATGATTATGATTATTGCATGCATTTGTTACTAGTGGTGTTTACGTCTCGCACGAAAGCAAAGCAAAACAAAATAATGCGAGACGCAATCGATATGAAACAGAAATCTGTCTTGGGGATTAATTCATAAAAATTATTAATATCAGGATGAGTAAAAATATTTTTTTTTCTTAAATTGAGATAAATAACAGATAAATGACATAGGTCCTACCAATTTTTAACCTTACATCAGATTTCTATTTCTCAAAACCCCACAAAAACGTAAGTCATGTTATCCGACAGCTCTCTTATTCTGAATTTCAACTCTACCCGAAAAACATTTATTAAATTATTCTTTACGAGACATACAAAGTATATTTGCAACAAAATCTGCGATATAATTGCCAAGAATTTATTTATTGAATTATGAAGTACTTATAGTCCGTTCGCGTTAAGAAAATAGTGAGTCATCAGTGCAACTACAGGCTAAAGGTGTATTCACAGTGGAGTAAATTTTTTTTTCAAACATTTAATTAAGTTTAATGGAAACAAATTTTCTTAAAATTATTTAAATCACTAATCAGTATCGCTAGATTCTCCAGTTACATTAATTATGAAAGAATTTTGTTCTGCAAGTTCCATGATGTCATCCAAATTCCACATGATATTTTCTTCGCGTATCACGTGGTCGCAGCACTTTTTCCAACGATTAGCGTCTATTAATGCTATTGCGTCATCTAATAATTTTTATGTCACTCATTTTGAACGTGGAGTAATAACTCCAGTATGAGAGTAATATCACCAACATAATTTTTTATTTGGGCCCAAACCAATTCAATTGGATTAAGTTTGCAATGGTTTTAATTATAAACAGAAAAATTGCAATTATAAACAGTATTTTCGGACACACCACATGCACTTGCTGTTTTTATTACTGTGCTCTCCACAGTCGCATTTAAATCACACAGTTTAAAGTACTTATAAACATTGTAAATTACGTGTCTCTCTCCGCTATGGATTATTGATCCACTTTTATTCGAATAGGTGAGGTATTCATTTTCAAAATTTAATGTTGAACGGGTAACACGCAAAATACACAACCGTTTTGTTCGAAGGCCCGACTTCAACTGGTCACTGTGAACTCGACTTTCTAATTTCTTGCATTTTAATTGGCTGGGGGGGCGTGGCCAGGCCGGCGGACAACGATGACTCACTATTTTCTTAACGCGAACGGACTGTAAATACTATTAATATTTATCATAATAACCATATAATATTGAAAATGGAAGAGAAAAAGAGCACTAATAACAACATTTAATGTGGCTAAGGCGGTATCAGAGTAGATATTAGGAATTGGTAGCAAAAAATATTTTACCATGTTTTATTACCTTGTTTTGTTTTGCATTTGAAATAACTTCCCGATAAGCAAGATACTTGAAACTTTGAATATATTTCAGATCTGGATTATAATGCAATATGAACTGACTTTCTTAAAATTCAGCTTTCATCCTTATCATTAGAATATTTTAAATAGATGGATATTACGAAAATGACTGTTGAAAATTGCTACAGCAAGTCATCCAAATCTGTGTAAATTTTATTTAACCAATTTACCGCATATAGTATTTATCTTTTAAAAATATCGAGAGTCTTTGGCTGCCATTCCATACGTTTGCATTGACCTTTTAAAGTTTTCATACACTACTTATATCGGTTTGTCATGCTAACACTTGAATAACATTTGACGAGTTGTATACAAAAAAATAAAAAAATGAAAATTACTTCAAGAAGGAAATAAACTAATGAAATAATTATAGCATTAAATAAATTACAAAGGGATAGCGGTCAAAACGACAGTTTAAACTCATGCTTTGATAAAATATTACTTAACGCTTTGACACTGGGCGAAAATTTTATCGCAAAAAAAATCGAGTAGCGAAAAAAATCAAAATAAGCGAGCTGCACGATGCGCTGAGATGGACCTGGATTGATATTGTAGTAGAAAAGCTTCCAGTCGTCGAGCCACACCTCGGCGAGGCGGGCGTTGTTGTGGTTGACGACGCGGCCCGTGCCGCCGGGGAACGAGTACGGCGTGGTCTTGCGGAACACGTGGCCCACGTGCGAGCACGGCGCTATCTCGAGCGTGCCGCCGCACATCCACACCTGCCCGCACCCCACGCCCCGCACACGCCAGCGTCACTTGCAACCGTCGCGAGGCACCCCACACCCCCACCTCACCTCTACACGCATATCCTATCCTATCCTTATCAATGTTGGCTAATAATCTTACGCTCACTAGATGTCGCTAGTTGACTGAAGTGAACTTATTTGTTACGGAGACGGAAGTTTTGCGGTTTGTAGTGTATGTATTTACACAAAACAATGCCTATTTTTTACACAATAAGGGTAACTATCGAGCACACAGCCCATCTAATGATAAGTAGATGCTGTGACTTATTGACATATATGTACATCTTATCCTCAATTACGAATCAAAATACTGATGCGTTTTGACACCAGAGGACTAGAATGGAATGCCTCGTATCCAGTGAAAAGGGTCTCCGGTTCTCTACACTCATCATACGAAACACAGCAGCATCGAGCTGCTATTTTACGCTAGTATTTAGTATTGATAAATTAATTACATAAAATTTCTCGTAATATGCTTTGACCATTCAATGTGACGTGTAAATATTTCCTATATTCATCATTTTTCAATTTTCGTAAATGGTTGAATGTTGAAAAGGAAAATTGTTACTTGGAAACCACCGAAATTCTTATACGAAGTGTCCTATTGAAAGACACATCACGTTACTTTGTGACAAATTAAAATATAGACCACTGAATTATTGTTATGCACTTTTTACTGTTTCTAGACCGGCAGGGGGTCATATCTATATTGGCGTTTTTTTATTTGGTCTTGGAATATAAATTTCGACTTTATTTGTTAATTACATTAGATTTTTTTATAAACATATGTATAACATGATAAAAAGTACCTACCTAATATGCCAATAAAACTGTTGCAAATTTCAGAGATATAAGTTAAAATTTTTATACAATTTCAATTAGATTCTATAAGTTTACATGACGGGGTACCGCGTTTATGTTGCAAGTGACGTAAGACCAACCCATTACCTCTACCATATTATGATGCAACAATATTCACCAGTTTGTTATCAAAAATGAAATGAAAAAGTATTTAATACACAGAGATAATATTATAAAAGCGCAGCAGCGTTTCTAAAACTTTAAGTACAAATCCAGATTTTATCTCTGATGAGATGGAAAAAGTGATATTTAAACGATAAAGAAAACATAATATGTTTCTTTTAAAAATGTATCAAAAACACAAACAACAAAAAGGTGGTTTGTTAAAAACCTAACCTAACTAATTTGAAAGTTTAGTATTAAACCAGGAAAAAGTTTGAGAAACACTGAGCAGTTTTGTTCTGATTTCTGACATTGAGATGAGAAATTAAATAAATATTTGATACACTAACATGTTATCAGTAAATTTGCTTTATTGCTTAACCCGATATTATTCGATAAACGGAACAATACACCGGTGAATTCTGTTTACAAATGACGTAACTAAGGCATTGTTAGCAACTCAGTTTCGTCGGCTGCTGAATAATTAAAGGCCGTAAAACAAATACACTTTTATCATGAACAAATAATCAAAATCCCTGTGACAAGCAATATGAAGTTTACAGTTATTTTAACTATACTTTTGACAGGAATCATTAATGTTACAGTATTACTTACTTATTGAATACAGAACTTTTACGGATTCATAAACTACACTTACATAACAAATACTTCAGATAGATTGTCTTAGGTAAATATCATATTGCTTTACTCAAAATCTACAAACAAACATATTAAAAGTGTTAATTCCGATTAAAGGTTAATTAGGCATTAGTTTCACAAAATGACACAAATTACTGAAACATCAATGGTGAAAGGTTACATTGACAACAAAAATTATGTTATTCTATTAAGCCATGATGACTGAGAAGAGCTGTAGCAAATAAAGGATTTATAAATGTGAAAGTGAATTTTATTTAAAAAAAAGTAGTTACTCTATATTTTTCTTTTTAACCGACTTCAAAAAATGAAGGAGATACTCAATTCGAATTTATTTTTTATGTGTATTAGAGAACTTTTAGAACTCAGAACTTTTTTAGGTGAACTGATTCTGATGATTCTTTTTATATTTGAAAGCTGATGCCTCTCATGTGGTCACATATAAATTTGATCGAGATCTGACCAGTAGTATTTGAATTATAATTAATAATGCGTGTTTAAATGACTTCGACTACATTGATGATGTTCTCATTTTGTTTATGCTGAAGTCGGTTGTATAATTTTTTTAATTTTATCAGTTGTTATCACACGAGAATTAAGCAACCAAATATAATTCTTGTAAAGGAAATTCAGGCTTATGAGTCTAAAAAATCTTTCTTAAGCAAATTAACTTTATATTAAAATTCTTATATATGGTTGTTTATTGTTATTTATTGTATTATTTCTGTAAATAAATATACTAGATTTAATATTTAAAACATGATGCGTTGACGACTTCTTTCTCATAATCAACATTATACAGTTGTGGCGGCGCTGTCGTCGCGCCGCAGCGAAACACACCGAAGCCTAAATCACGCTATCAATATTCCGAATCATAAACAGTATATATAGAACATCTCCGAACTATCACCAGGAGTGTTGGCCGCTCCCCAGGCAGAACACCTTGCCCGGCGGGAGATCTCCCCTTTTCCTTCCACGGCCACACAGTCATCTATTTTGCAGAAAATAAGATATTTGCTACAGCTCTCACATGAAAAGAATTGCTGTGGATACAGACTTAATACATAAATTACATTTAAATGTATTTAATAAACTCCAAAACACTCTTCATTGCTTCTGCATTACGAAGAAGCATAAGAAAAAAAAGGGGGTAAAAAAGAGGTAATACAGCAAAGAGGAAAAAATATAATTTGCATTACGGAAAACTGACAGGCTGAAAAAGTACAACAACACTAAAAATAGAAAAATAAAAACGTAGGGGAGACAAACAGCGAAATAAGCATGCAAGTAAAAATAAATGCAGCTGCAATGGCGGTTAGTCGTAATATGTTAAAAGGCTCAAGTCTTCAAGTGTTAATGACATGTTCACAAAACATCTGCTTTATTTATTAAATGTTATCCCAAGCCACAACAAAACTTTATCAATATACCAACGACCGCTATCATTTTACACATACTAACTACGAATAAACAAAATACGAATTGAATTTTCGCAATTTTTCCCGTAATAGTCCACGATTTTCGAATATTTTTTGGTATAATTTTGGCATTGATAAATGAAGGAATATATATATATATATATATATATATATATATATATATATATGTATATATATGTTTTTTTGATATCAATAAAGTTTACTACTTCTACCACTACTGTACACAATGGCAAAATCGTTTCAATTATAAGAAGGTAAAATGTTAGCGGTCCCGGCACGCAACAATCCAAGGTCCGAACCTGGATTCATGGCGTAATAGAACTCGCCCCACTCGTCCATCCACACTTCGGCGACGCGCGCCGCGTTGTGGAGCACGATGTTCTGAACTCCGCCGGGGAACGAGTACGGCGACTTGTCGCGGAACACGTGGCCCACGTGCGAGCACGGCACTATCTCCAGCCGGCCGCCGCACTGCCACACCTTGCGCCCACACCACACATTAATGCCACCTCACACCAATACGAGACGCCACGCCAGTCAATTGAATATGAAACTTATTCACTACTGAAAAGGTCCACATTTCATTGAAAACCTATCTAAGGTCCCGCGGTTGCGCGTGATAGTTGGTGTTCAGCACATCCCTCTTACCACGTTCCGTTTGAACTGACTTTTAGAAGATAGCCTTTCTAGCGTTTGAATTTTTGAATGCATTTAATTATTAATGGTGAAGATCAAACGGGATCAAAGGGTTTTCGAGCTAATCTCTATAGAGAAGGTGCTATTTAAAATGTAATGCACACGCATTTTTAGAAAAAAAAAAGCGTTGCTTATTGCATCTTAAAAAATTGGCGTTTTCGGCGTTTTCAAAAATTTTCTGTCAACAATTTAAACAGGGACTTTTTCATAAATAACATTAAGACTTCCCAAATTAACATGGATTACTTTCACAAACGGACGACTCCTGTTACCGACATGTTGCCATATTTTAATCCGAGCAATAAAAGCAAAAATCTTATGGAGATTAAGATAAAAAATAAGAGCACAAATACAATCTGTACAAAGCATACGATACCCGGAAGCTCATCTCAAGGTTCTCTCCACCCCAAATGTCCATGCCCTCATCATAGGAGCCGATCTTATAGAAGTACTCGCGGTCTATCGCGAACAACCCTCCCGCCATTGTCGGCGTACGTAAAGGTGCTGTGCGGTCACCACCTCGACGGGACATCTCTCGTTCTGGTACTCGATACCTGAATGTCGAAAATAAATAATTTATTAAGAGTGGTAGCAGCTTAATCCATCACCTGATCTTACCTAGGTTCGATTGTATCGTATACATGGGGAAATGCCAGAAAGATGTTAGCCACCATAACGGTACAGGCATAAGGTTCAAGCCTGAGGTCAACGCCTGAGGTGAAAAAAGTCACACTGGCGACGATAAGCAACGTTAAAACTGCAGGATATCTTTCGGTATGATGGCTAGATGTAATTGCCGGCTCCGTGGCGAAATAGCTTAGCAATGAGTTGCAACACTGCAATAAATTTTTATATGTAAATTGCCTGCATGATACAGGAAAAAATCCAAGTGGGGGCAACGCTTTTAAAAGAAATCATCCATTAAGCATAATTACAGTAACGAAAGACAACGAAACGGCGAGCGATGCACCATGCTACGGAACAATGCAAGGCTGTGGGATGTTTTACGTTCACTTCTGTATGTAATATAAAACATTTCTTACGTCTTCTATATGTGGCCTTGTTTGGTTGAAGTTGTTTAGCATGTGTCCACTGGCTGCAGTGGCCGTTTAACATTAGGAAGACTGCTAGCTGATGTGTTACTCAAACATACATCACGCCTGTCACCCACAGGGGTAGGTACAGAGTACAGACTTCTATTTGGCACGATCCTGACACACCTCTTTCCCCTCCTCCACATCCATATACCTACACATACAAGCTCGTCGGTTAAGGGTATATACCTACTCTTAATTTGGCCCATTTTCAATATATCGCCAATTTGGTCGATAAACTTTCGCCTAGGACGTCTCTTTCCGACTCTTCCGTTCACTTCTGCATCATAAATTTGCTTTGTCACTCTTTCCTCATTCATTCTTTCTACATGACCAAACCATCGAAGTATTTCTTTCTTAACCCTGGTCACAACATCATCTTGCAAACAACACTCTTCTATTACTACACAATTTCTCTCCCTGCCACTCAGATTAAGCCCTAACATACTCCTTAACGACCGCATTTCTACTGCGTTTATTCTACTCTCGTGCTCCTTCTGCCACACCCAAATTTCATTACTATACATAAAATTAGGGACTAACACAGCATTGTGAATAGCCATACGTGCCTTTTTTGACTTTCTACAATAGATTGTAGAGCCCCATTTACTTTTTTTTCTGCGTTCACTCGTCGTTCTATATCCTTATTATATCTCCCATCTCTGCTGAATACACATCCCAAATATACAAACTCATCCACTTGCTCTACCAACTCCCCTTCTTTTCTTATTTCACATATCGTTTTAGTTTTCTCTCCTTAAAAACCATAACCTTAGTCTTTCTTGCGTTGATTTTCATCCCCCTTTCAAATATTATAAAATAATACTATCAAACTATTTATGTATGTTTTAATAATAATGTATATAGTTTTAATAATAATACATTTATGTATATATTTGATTGTACATCAGATATATACGAAAATAAAAACAGGTTACAGGAGAAAAATTTAATAGTGTTAACATGTAAGAGCGATCTCTTCCAAACAAGCTTATAGCAAAATTGAACTAGCGGAAAGTAGGTGGTATACCAAAATAACTTACTTACTTACTTACTTATCTTCACGCACAATCCCTAACGGGGTAGCCAGAGAGAACAGATCGCCAAGTGCCACGATCCTTACATACCTCTTTCGCTTCTTTCAGGTTCATTAACTTCTTCATACATGCACGTCTAGGTATCCGAGTACTCTTGACCCTCCCCTCTTCGAGCAATTTGCTCACATGGTCTTCGAAAGTTAGTCTCGGTCTACCTCGACACCTTTTAATATTTACTTTCGCTCTATATATTTTCTTCACCATTCGGTCTTCACTCATTCGTTCAACGTGCCCAAACCATAGGAGTACGCCCCTATCAATTTTTGTGATAAGGTCATCTTTCAATCCTGCCATATTGCGAATCTCTTCGTTTCGCTTTCGATCGGCTATGGTAACGCCACACATTTTACGTAGAGATCGCATCTCCACTGCATTCAACTTGCTTTTATGCTTCTTCTGGCATACCCAGGTTTCGCTGCCATATAACAAAGTCGGTACCAACACTGCGTTATGTATTGCAAGGCGTGCACCTTTCACCACGCCTTGACTTTTGACTAATGCATTCAGGGCACCATTGACTTTGTTTCCGGCAGCGACACGCCTATCCACATCTAAATCACATCTTCCATCCCGGCTGAAAGCACTCCCCAAGTATACAATTTCATTTACCTGTTCTAGACATTCCTGATTTACCCATATTTCACATTTCGTTCTCTCTTCGCCCTTTTCAAATACCAGAACCTTAGTTTTATTAGCATTCAAACGGAGACCTTTAATTTCACATTCCTCTTTCATACACGTGACTAATGCCTGCAGTTCTGCTTCTGATGGTGCAATAAGCACTGCATCATCAGCATACAGCAGACAATTAACTTTTATGTCACCCAATTTCACACCCAAACAGCTAATATATATATAAAATAAATAAATATGGCAGACAAATATAACAATGAGTTTAATTATAATAATGTAATTATTATTCACTTTGTAATTTATAAATCTTATAAATGTGCCTCTGCTTTATGCAAAAGCATTGTATATGATTGTTCAAAGATTTCACCGAATCGAATAAGATTAGAAAGATAATTGGTTTAGTATGCGTTTGCATTCAGTTAGTATTCCGAATACCGTAGTAAATCGATTGAAACGCATTTTAATTCATTTCATTTATTGCCTACTAAATCATCAATATAACAGACGCAAGGTAAATTCAACAAATAGTACTTTTACTAAGTAAAAAAACATTATATTGAAGAATAACAAATAAAGAAATCGTCTTTATTAAGGCCATAAATATCTCAGAGTATTTGATAGTAAAGATGAATGATGATCGCTAAATTAAGTTAGAAGCTATTAATGTGAATAATGTGAATAACATAAATTGATGAGCTTATCGTTGTTTTGTAATGTATGAGCTGAACGAGTCTGGATGTAGAAGAACACGTTCATTATTGATTCTAGAGTCGAGTTCCCAAAACATATTTTTATATGTAATACATGAATATTTTGTTGCCCATTGTGTCATATATTCATACTCGTATGACACACTGGGAACTTGTCGATACTTGCCCGGTGTACCCATCCTTGCGCATGGGTACACCGGGCAAGTGTCCCGCGATCCATGGCCCCCTACGCCACTAGCGTAGTCTACTCCTGTTTTATTGTCTGTATAGTCTCCCAAGGGTCTAAGACGGGTCTGGTTGTACTCAAAGCAATAAACATAATGTAGCATAATAAATAATTTAATTACTTAACAAACAATAAAACCCAAAATAAAGATCAGTCAAGAAACCAAGGCAGGTTGTTGGAGCACTAAGCCTACGTCAGACATTCACATGGTTAGTTAAACTGATCAGTTGAAGTGACGTACATCTAATGGACGACACATACGGTCATTTCAAGTGATCAGTTCAAACTAGGACTGTTGATACTTTTTAAAATATCGGATATTCGATATATCGATAAATAAACTTATATATATAACTCCGATATTGATATATTTATAATTAACGATGTATCGAAAATCCGATATTTAAAAAATATCAACAGTCCTAGTTTGAACTGATCAGTTGAACTGACCGTGTGTGTCGTCCAAAATACTGACCGTGAGTGTGAAATTTTAAGTTGAAATTTCAAGCCAGTGGGGAAATCGTTTTGGCATACATCCGTTTGAACTGATCAGTTTAACCGACCGTGTATCTCGAGAATAATAGTAGAGTCTTCCATTTGGGCATCACTGTGCAACTAAAGTAGGTAAGCCAAGTCACGGTAATTTTATCTATACAGTATTCCAACTTCATACAAACGGACGAAGCGAGAGCTATGCCTACGCGCCTCGATCTCGGCATGCGCTCGGCATGCAGACAGTCGAGACTGTGCCGCAGTGATGATTTTGTGAAATATATAAAAAAATGGAGGAAATAAATAATATAATAAAAATAAAGACATAATAAATCCGAACTTCATTTAAAACCAAACATGTAAATTGTAAAGTAGCTGCAGGTATCTATAACCAAGTAAAAGATATTCATTTTATCCACCTTGTCCATGTTTCCCAAAACAATTTTTAAATAAGCTTTATATTAGAATGCGGATTTTTAAAGTAAAGCATTTCGTAAGTCTCAGCCGAGGCGCAAATATTTTTTGGTCGCAAATTTATAACACCGATTTGTTATTCAAACATAAATATGGTTTTTTAATTAAATCTACCAATCAAAAAATGACACGCATTGTTATTGAACACTTCCTATTCAATTCACAAAGTACCTATTTTTTTTTTATTGAAACAGAATCTACAGCTTGTACATTTAATAATATATATAAACAAGTTTTGAACATATCATGTAACATAGAAACCTTTATAGATTTACATTTTTTTTATATTTGTTTATATAAAAAAGTATATTTACAATCATAAAACTAACTGAAAACACAAACTAGGCAAATGTAAAAATGCTGGAGGCAGGCAGCCCTATCGCATGTTTACGTACCACGCGGCTGTAGGCATTTATTTGAGAGATACGGCCGAGTTACAATACTGTATAGATAATATTACCGTGGCCAAGTGACGTTGCTGCGCTCAGAAAGCAGATGATATTATCGATGATAATATCATACGTCATTGTTGGAAATCGTTGTGACAAAACTGTTAAGTCAAATGGACGCCGCACGCGGTCAATTAAACTGATCATTCCAACTGATCAGTTCAATCTTGAACTGTAGACATTTTTAGGGTTCCGTAGTCAACTAGGAACCCTTATAGTTTCGCCATGTCTGTCTGTCCGTCTGTCCGTCCTCGCTTAATCTCTGTGACCGTTAGCACTAGAAAGCTGAAATTTGGCCGACAAAGTGGTAAAATAAAAATTGGAAAAAAATGTTTTATTAGGGTAGCCCTCCTATATGTAAAGTGGGAAGTGATTTTTT